TGGAATCCTTTGAAACAACCAGGACTAGAGAGGTTCGCAGTATATTGTTTGGGACAATTTTTCAATCTTGTCCATAGACTTCAGAGTGATTCTTAAAACGTTGTAAACGTTCAGGTGGCATTGCTATTTTATTACCTATGGATGGCACCCAGTGTCTGAGATCTGCCTTCGCTAAGGAGGAAATGGAGCTTAAAAAATATTTGAAAATGTATTTGTTACCCACATGACCCTAGACTAACTGCAAATGGTTTATTTTTAGCATCTTGCTATAGCACGTGGTATGTGCTTATCTTTAGCAAATATTCGAGTATTTTAATACCTTGCTCAAAATCACGCTTGGGCATTCTTATGAGATGGAGCCTTGGTTAATACCCCAGGGAATGGACTGAGTTTAAAGTTCAGCCCTAGTGCCTGTCCCTGCTAGTCTAGCCTCGAGGGCCCAAGGACGAAGGCAGCTGGCCCCTCCTGTGTTCAGAAATGCTTTTCAACCCGATGGGTTAATTAATATGCATGGCATCAGGTTAATTAATATGCATGGCATCGTATTCCTACCAATAAGATCCTGGGTGGCAAAGAGGTTGAGGTTATGGGTCTTCCCTTGAACTTGGAGAGGTAAGTGTTATTCTTCACTCTGCCGCCTATTCACTCTGTTCCCCCCACCTCCCTCCAAGGAGAATAAAAATAAAAGAGTGAGAGAATTAAAAAAAACACCAACCCCCCCAAAACAAAACAAAACAAAAAAAAAAAAAACACAACAGCAACCTGAATTTATAATGTCAGAGCAAGTTTACTCCTTAGAGTAAAATTCTGTTTCCATCTGAACGGTTTACTGTGTGGAATGGTCTCCTTCCCTTTTGTTCCATTGGAGATCGCCAGGATTCTGTGTCCACAGACACGTTCCGGGAGTCTTTTCCCAAGTGCTGGGCTCGGTGAGGAGGGAGCCTCATGGGCACACGAGGTTTCTCCTATTAACCACTCATCCATGCTGCTTTGTGCATGAATTCCACCCGGAATATCTGACCACACTCAGGGCATTACTTAAATGTACGAACCTTTAGTTATATCACTAAATATAACTTCTATATTCATCTCTATTTTTAAAAAAATTATTATTATTATTATTTAAATATATTTTATTGATTTTTTTTTACAGAGAGGAAGGTAGAGGGATAAAGAGTTAGAAATATCGATGAGAGAGAAACATTGATCGGCTGCCTCTTGCACACCCCCTGCAGGGGATGTGCCGGCAACCAAGGTACATGCCCTTGACTGGAATCGAACCTGGGACCTTTCAGTCCGCAGACCGACGCTCTATCCACTGAGCCAAACCAGTTAGGGCTAATTATTATTATTTGAAGCTCCTAGTCGACCAGAGATGTTTCATAGGATGAGCCTGTGTTGCCCGGACAAGTTACTAGATACACAAATGAAGTGTGTATGTATTTCATGAGGAATAAACAAAAACTGCTGATGGATGGAGCCAGAGCTTTATATCCCGGGGAGATTCGTGTTATAGTAGATACAGATCTGATATAATATGTGCCAATCCCAGTGCTCCCCGTGGTCCTGGGCGCCGGAGAGGTGAGGTGGCTCCCCCAGGTCAGGCACCTCATGCTCGGGGCTGTCCAGGTGAGGGAGCCGCGGACACTGTGGCCGAGCACTGAGATCCTGGGAATCAAACCCGCTGCCTTCATCCTCTCCCCCCCACCCCACCCCCACCCCCTGCAGGCGAACCTGCCTCTGCTGCAGCGAGAGCTTCTGCACTGCGCCAGGCTGGCCAAGCAGAACCCGGCCCAGTACCTCGCCCAGCACGAGCAGCTGCTCCTGGACGCCAGCACCACCTCCCCCGTGGACTCCTCTGAGCTGCTCCTCGACGTGAACGAGAACGGGAAGAGGCGGACGCCAGACAGGTGAGGGGCGGCGTGGTGGGCCGGCCCGGCCTTGGCCTTGGCCCGGTGCCGGGGACACGGACCTGCGGGGCGGGATGTCTAGGCCGCTCGCCTGCACCTGCTGCAGACTAGCCACAAGGTGAAGGTCCCTCTCGGGGGCCTCGCTCTGGCCTGGCAGGTTGCAGAGGGATGACTCTCCGGCCTGTGCCAGGCTTTTGTGACGGCTCATCTCTGTTGCTTGTAACGAAGTTCAAGGGGAAGGCCCTGGGCAGGCAGCTCCCTCAAGTGGTGAGAACATCGTCACGATATGCCAAGGTTGTGGTTTGATCCCCAGTCAGGCCTCATACAAGAATCAACCAATGGATGCATTCATAAGTGGAACGACAAACCTCTCTCTCTCTCTCTCTCTCTTCCCAATACCCCCCCTGTCTTCCTCTCTCCTTTCTTCCCTTTCTAAAAATGAAATAAATTAAAATTTCTTTACAATTAAATAAAGTGAAAGGTAAAGATGAATCATATTTAAATATACCAACTGCCACTAACGGTTCTTAGACACACAGTATTAAAATTGTCACTTAAAAATATAATTCTTTTTTTTTTTTTTCTCTCTAATCCTCACTCGAGGATATTTTTCCATTGATTTTTTAGAGAGAGTGGAAGAGAGGGGGAAAGACAGAGGAATACCAATGTGAGAGAAACACATCGATTGGTTGCCTCCTGCACGCGCCTGATTAGGGCCCGGGCTGGGGAGGAGCCTGCTAATGAGGCATGTGCCCTTGACCGGAATAGAACCCAGGACCCTTCAGTTCCCGGGCCGATGCTCTGTCCACTCAGCCAAACTGGCTAGGGCCCACAGAATGTTATTAAAAGCAAACCAGGTTACATACAGTTACTGTCATTTTTATGCTATAATCTCTGGAATTTCTCTCCTCTTGACATAGGCCCTCCCTCTTCATAGTGTAAATTCCTGAAGCAAAGGTTAAACACTGTTTTACTTATGACATACTTAGACGTACCTTCTCATGGGACCTACCAATAGTGCTCCTTTTTATTTTTATTTTTGCAAGTCATCTTTCCTCGGCCACACGTAAGCATTTAGTCTTTTAGCTTTTAAAGGGAACTACCTAATCCAGGTGTCTGCATGGCACAACCTGAAAACCAAGAAGGATAGGCGCTTTCCCGGTGCATTCTGTCTGATCCCGCTCACCCTGCAGGAAGGCAGCACTGGCTGCAGGGCTGAGCTGAGGAAAATGCGGGTGCACCTCCATTTCTTCCAGAATGCTGTAGGAAAAGAATCGGGGGGAGACCGGGTGGAAAACTGGGGAGAAAAAACATTTGCTTGAGTGGAGGAGAGGGCACCAGGGAAAGGTTTGGATAGCTGTGAGAAATGTCAAACTCATCCTCTAGGCAAAATTGGAAACGGACACCATGTATTCTAGAAACCTTAGCTCGCAGTGGTCCTCAACCTTCCTAATGCCGTGACCCTTTTATGCAGCTCCTCATGTTGTGGTGACCCCCAACCATAAAATTATTTTCGTTGCTACTTCGTCACTGTCATTTTGCTGCTGTTATGAATCATAGTGTAAATGTCTGTGTTTTCCGATGGTCTCAGGCTCTACAGCAGCAGTTCCCACAGGGTGACAACCGCTAGCAGGGTCACCTAAGACCATGGGAAAACACAGATATTTACATCACGATTCACAACAGCAACAAATTACAGCGATGAAGTAGCAACGAAAATAATGTTATGGTTGGGGGTCACCACAACATGAGGAACTGTATTAAAGGGCCGCGGCATTAGGAAGGTTGAGGACCACTGTGCTAAGGAGCCATAAGAGGCAGCCTGAACACCTTTTCCTTCATTTCTCGACATTCCCACCCATTGCCCCATGGCTTCGTTTCCACGATTTCCATGGGAAAGTCCTGTGCCTTTAGCCGTCCCTCAGGTGGTGCTGAGGTCACATGGAGACATCACGTTAGTGTGCTGTAGCCATGTATGTGCATGCATGCTTGCCATCACTGCGGTAGGACTGACTCTCGGAGAGCCTTCAGCGTCATTCTCCCTGGGGTGACTCCCCCATAAAAATAGCGGCTAAAGCGGGAAGGAACAAGCTTGCTCTTGGGATGGAGCTTTCCTGTTCCTATGAAAGCCCAAAAGCTGTGTTGCTACGGAAAGGTGGTGAGTGGATTCCCTTAGCGTTAGGAGGGAGGGGGATGAGAGCAGGTTGTGTAAATACACTTGCTTCTTGTGGGGATCCGATCAGAGCCAAGAAAATAGGGGCCCCCCTCGCCTGTCTCTGCCTGTGTGCCCTACATCCTGTCTGCACATGCATGTTCCTATCCTCCCGTTGTGTGTCTGCGCCTCCAGGCCCGCAGGAGAGGCCGGAGCCGTCTGACAGCGGAGGCCTTTTTGTTTCCCTGAATGTTGTGCGGCTGCATATGGTCTGACATGGATGAGCAGCCACGCCGAGATGCTGGAGTCTATTAAACTGGCTCATTAAAAAGATCAATCTGTTTCTGTAATAACACAGGGAGCCATCCGTCACCGGGAGAGGGAAAGACTGACACCTGAGGAGAAAGCACATCCTGGCAATGTGTCCGTGACACGCCACGAACAAAAGAGCACTCTGCGTTTTGTTTACAACTTTGGGGGCTTACGTTTTGTGATAATTGCAGGCTTAATCTGCTGAACAGTTGTCACATGTGGTAGGGATGGCTTTTTGGCAAATTTAACTTTTTTCGCTCCGCAACTATGACTGTCACTGGTTATATCTCTTTTTTAAAGCATTATTATTATTTACAGAGAAATGAAGACTCTGAGGAAGCCTACAAAATTAATATTTCCCTGTATGGAGCAGTGACATTTATTCTACTTTCTTTTCTTTCATATATATATATATATATATATATATATATATATATATATATGTATATATATTATTGATTTCAGAGAGGAAGGAAAGAGAGAGATAGAAACATCAATGATGGGATTCATGGATTGGCTGCCTCCTGCATGCCCCCTACTGGGGATTGAGCCCATAACTCAGGCATGTGCCCTGAGCAGGAATCCATACAATATATAACATTTGCCAACACAGTACACACCAGCTGAAACTACTAGGTTCATTTTTTTTTCCTGTAAAATGAATGATGTTTCAATATTTTTATATTTATTAAGAAAAAAGGTAAATAGGTACACTTTACAAGGGATTGCAAGATTAACTGACTATGAATAAGAGACTAGAAGTTAAAAATTAAATCTGTTATCTATAATATTCAGTTTTGTAGGAAAAATATGTTTAACTTTATATTCATATATTGTGGTTTTGTGTCAGATCTTTTATGCATATTTAACTTTCAAGGACTAATCACCCACGTAGAAATGAATTTTTAAAAAATACCCCCAGAGTGAGGGCATGTATGGAGGGTGGGCAATGGTATATGTACACAGATAATAATTTAATAAAAAAAATAAATAAAAATACCCCGTTATGAATGATTCTAGTAAAACAGTATTAAGTTGCTTTACATAATGAGATAGCATGGTTTGCAGAGGACATTTGGTCTCTCCATACTGGTCTCAGCATGTTCATGCTAGCCTAGTCATGCTGAATATAAATATATATATATACATTCAAAAAGGGAGAGGGAGAGAGAGAGATAGAAACATCAGTGATGAGAGAATCATTGATCGACTGCCTTTAGTACACCCCCTAGTGGGGCTCGAATCGAATCCACAACCCAGATAGGTGCCCGGACTGAGAATCGAACCATGACCTCCTAGTTCACAGGTCAACGTCAACCACTGAGCCACATCAGCCGGGCACTGCCAAATACTCTTCATAACTTTATGCCATAATTCTAGTCATGCTTCACAGGCTAACTCAGACAATATCTACTGTTTAATACAGGCTTCCCAATCATAAATGGTTACTGTTCACTGAGACTTTAAGATGTGCCCCACCTTGTGCTAACTATTAATAATTTACATGCTAACACATGCACTTACTGCCTAACAGTCCTATTGCATAGATTCAGGCAGGCAGGGCAATGTGTAGGCACAGATGGGATTCTAACCCTAGATTCTCTTCCTGGATCGCCCATGCTCATAACTAGGACTCTACGCTATCAGCTTGAAGTTTTGAATGCTAAATATGTGCTAAGCTCTTTATGTAAATTCTTTCAGCTAGTCCTCTCAGTACCTCTGAGGTCATCATTCCCATTTTGTGGATGGAAACACTGAGGCTCAGAGAGGTTAAGTTCATATGTCCAACCAACAGCAGAGCCAAAATTTGAACCAACTCCATAGACCCTGCTCTTTCAAGTGTCCATTCTGGAGTGATTTTTTCCTTACTCTACTCATCCATATTACTTGGGTACGATGTTTATGGTACCTGCCAAGTGCAGGTCCCGTGTGAAAATACAGAAGTCATGACTCCAACTGAATTGTCTTCACGGTAAAGATTTATTGCCAGTTCACTTCCACAAAGAATGTTTGTCTGCTATTAAATGATAATTTTATGTAGGATGCTGGGGGATTACCTCTTGATTATCTTTGTATGCCCACTAAAGCTCCGGATAGTGTATTACATGTAGTGGATATGTACACCCACTCACAAAACAACAACAAAAACCCTACTCCTTGAATCAATAAATCATTAAAGTTAAACTTAATGTAGTCACTTTCCCTATCATTGATTGATTTCAGAGCGGAAGGGAGAGGGAGAGAGAAATGGAAACACCAATGAGAAAATCATTTATCTCTGCCTCCCACATGCACTGGGGATTGAGCCCTCAGCCTGGGCTTGTGCCCTTGACTGGAATCAAATCCCAGACCCTTCAGTCCACAGGCTGAGGCTCTGCCCACGAGAGCCATCTAGAGCTAGCACCATGACATTTAAAGGTAAATATAGGAAAATGGGCTTAAAGAGGTGTCAAACTAGAAGGGACCTCAAATCATCTAGTCCAGTGGTTTTCAAACTTGATTTTAGCGGCAGACGTTTTCCTTAAAAATAATTTGAACAATAAAGATAAAAAAATAAACTGAAATGAAACCTTAAGTGGAACCTACATTTCTAAAAAACAGATAAGAAGAAGTGGGTTCCTCTGGCCCTTTAAATCTTGACTGTTTGCGGGAAAAGCATTTCATTGCCTGCAGGATCCCTTAAGTGCCTCCGGTGGCACAGTTTGAAAACCACTGACTTAGTCCCACCCTTTCATTTTACAGATGAGCAAACTGAGGTCCAGAGAGGTTAAGTGGCTTGCCCAAGGTCACACAGCTAGTCGTGGAAGAGCCAGGACTAGATCTCATAGCTCATGATTCCCAGTCCAGAGCTCTTTCCATTACACCACACTGCCCATAAGGTAGGTGATGTGTTAGCATTATGTTCATAGCTACTAATAGTCTGCAGTATTTTTTCAACTGATTCATGCTGGTCATGTGCATTGGATACTGAAGTGTATTTTTCAGAAATGTTTAGGACATGGAAATACAGATTAGAATCACATAGATACACACTTAGAAGATGAATCGGTATCTAAAATGTTTCCTTTCACTTTGTAAAATTGCGTGAAAGAAACATGTTTAGGTAATGTCTGAGCTATAGTGGACATTTTTTGTCTAATATTAATGATGCTTTAGCACAGACACATACTTTGATGGGAGTGTCATTGAGATATCTGCCCCCCCGCCCACACACACACACACACACACGGACCACATCCTGCTGTCATGTCCAGTATTGGCCAGTCTGCCATCTCTAGGACAGTGCATCTTTCTCCAGGATGCAATGGGCATGTATCATTGCATACTGAACTCTGAGTTTTCCTCAATTCTTTGTGTGCTGTACCTTCTGTCTCCAAGTCCTTTATCCTTCTCCATCTCGTGTGTGGAAATTGTCACAGCGGGCTTACCCTATCTCTTGGCCCTAATGATCGTCTTGTTATGTCAGTTACTACTCTGGTTCCTCTAGTCCTGCCAGGCAAAGACTATCCTGGAAGCCAGGAAAGGGGGGAGAGAAATGTCTTCAGGCCTCTATGCTGTTCTTCCCAACGTAGAATCCAAAAGGTGTGCAGAAATCTGTAGCTTCTGAGACTTGGTGGAATTCTTATGGGGACATTTCACAGGGGAAATGGACTTTAGGACGGGTCTAACGATAAGGTGCTGGTCTGGCAGTGAGGGCCAGCTCCTTCATCAGAAATTAGCGTGGGAGCTGTTATTCCTGTCACAGTGGGATGTGGCTTGTTCCTGTCTTACTGAGCATATGAAGTTTGTCCATACAAATAGAGATCTAGTCAGCCAAAAAATGGTTCTCCGGCCCCACCTCTTTTTGAAGAAATGTAGGAGCGGTAATAGTTATCAGGTTGCATTTTTATCAGTGTATTCCTTCCGAAAGGCAAGTGCAGAGTTTTGCGTGTCACGTAATCAAGTGTAGTCAGGGTGTGCTGTCCTGCTCTGAGGCCTGATGACCCCAGTGAGGTCACACATGCTCTCTGAGCATCTTTGCCCAACTTTAAAATAAGGGGGCTTGCCTAAATTCTCTTTCGTCGCAGCTAGCTCCGTGTGACTGCCGCTTGATGCCCAGGTGACCCCAGGCAATAGGAGAATGCCAGACATTGCATTGCATTATTGTGTTAGCTCATTTAGTCAGCAGTTTCCCACAGAGCTGTCTGTGATGACCAGAATGTTCTCTGTCCGTGCAGTCCCCATCTGTAGCCATAGCCCCAGGTGGTGACTGAGCACCTGAAATATGGCCCCTGCTCCTGAAGACCTGAATTGTAAACTTTGATGTTCATTAACTTACATTTAAATTTCAGCAGACACATGTGGCTACTGCATTGGGCATCACAGCTGTTAGGTGTTCTGTGATATGAAAGTTAGCCAGGTTGGATGCAATTTTTCAGTAGGTGTCTAACCTGAAGAAGTCATCAGGAGAATGATGTCTAACTTGAACCTTCACTAGATGCAATGTCTTAGGGTAATATGTTAGGAATCACCTACTCTCTTTTGAATAGAAATGTTATCTACGGAGTGAGGTTGGGATCTCCTTTTATTCATGACCCTACACATGTATGAGCCTCAAATGAAAATATATTTCCTAAGAGATGTTTGAGAATTGAACCATTTTCTCCTGTGGGCAGTTCGGTGATCATGTAGACCTCAGCATGGGTTTCAGCGAATTACCAGTCAGTGGTCTGCGTTTACAGAGTTTCTGGCCAATACTTTATATTGCAAGCTCAACTGCGAGTGTTTGAATGATGCTGGTTTCTGAATATATCATGAAGCAAAATCTCTTTCTCCTTCCTCCCCGCCCCCGCAGAACCAAAGAAAATGGCTTTGACAGGGAGCCTTTGCACTCAGAACATCCAAGCAAGCGACCATGCACGATTAGCCCCGGCCAGCGGTACAGTCCAAATAACGGCTTATCCTACCAGCCCAACGGCCTGCCTCACCCCACCCCACCTCCACCTCAGCATTACCGTTTGGATGATATGGCCATTGCTCACCACTACAGGGACTCCTATCGACACCCCAGCCACAGGGACCTCAGGGACAGAAACAGACCTTTGGGTAAGAAGGAACGATTTGTTCGCATCTTATGGGATTGGGTGTATGTCTCTGACTTAACCAATGTGCTTTGAGGAATGAATGATTTGGTGCCTTTTTTTTTTTTTTTTTAACTTGAAACTGCCAGTGAATACATTTAGTATTGAGATTTTTGTGTCCAAGATGTATCATTCCAGAGATGGAATGAGTTTGGATAAATATGTGTTCCTTTTACCTCCATTCATTCTTTGAATAAGACCATGGGAAACGAAGCTTGTAGGAGATATTGCCTTCTAAAGAGCAAGTGAATAGCATGAAAAAGGAGAGGGAAGATGAACAAGGTGGGTTTTGATGCATGATCAGTGGTTGAGGTGCAGGTATTATCAGAGCACTCACTGTTCCTGGAGTTCCCGCAATTCTTCTTCTTATTCTTTTTAAAAAACCTTCATTGTTGAAAGTATTACCTTTGTCCCCCTTTTGGCTCCTTTAGCCATGCTAGCCTGCACTGGCCCCCTGCACCAGGCCTTCCCCACACTGTTGTCTGTGTCCATGGATTATGCATAGACGTGTACAAGTTCTTTGACTGAATTCTTCTCACCCACCCATCCCCACCTCCCCTCTGAGATTTGACAGCCCGTTCCATGCTTCTCTGTCTCTGGATCAGTTTATTTTGTTCATTAGATTCCAGTGATTCTTAATTGTTGGCGAGTCAAGCTATTTATAAACTGACAGAGAGCGGTAGTCAACCCTCTCTTTTTCCATCTTCTGTATCCAGGCCACCCACCCACAGGACTTCTCTTGACCTCACAGCTAGTTGCAGACTGGTTTTCCTAACGTGGGTGATTGGTTGGGCAAGGATGCTGGAAGCAGGGAGGGAGAAAGTCCAAGTGGAAAACCAGAGCGTAGGCCTGAGGATGCAGAGCTTCGGGGAGTGCAGCCGGTGACTCAATGCCTGAATAGTCGGGACAGTGATTTTAGCCCCAGGCAAAGGTGGCCTGGTGAGCAGCAGTGTACAGTAGATGTATAACTAGGTTACTAGCCAGTGGGGACTGCCATATATAAGTTCTATTTGCCTTTCCATAGACAACACTCTAAATGTTTAGAAGCAGTAGGGTAAGGTGAGGGGCAATTAATGCCCAGGTTGTGAGATAGCAGAGTAATAGTTCTGCTTCCCTACAATAGTCACTTCTGCACTCATAATGTGTCAGCAGAAGGGCTAAGCGTATAATGTGTGCTTTCTTTTTTTTTATTTTTATTGATTTTTTACAGAGTGGAAGAGAGAGGGATAGAGAGTTAGAAACATCGATCAGCTGCCTCTTGCACACCCCCTACTGGGGATGGAGCCCGCAACCAAGGTACATGCCCTTGACCGGAATCGAACCTGGGACCTTCAGTGTGCAGGCCGACGTTCTATCCACTGAGCCGAACCGGTTTCGGCAATGTGTGCTTTCTTCATAGCCAGTCTAAGGTTCTCTCAGTACCATTTCTGAAGAACTCTCAAAAGTGGTTATGTTATTTCTCAGGCAGAGTTGCTATTTTGACCCCGAAATAAAATAACAACAATCCCCTCCATGCAAAAGCCTGGCCATTTGTCTCTAACGCAATGCCCCGGACACCTGATTGCTCATTTTCAAGTAGAAGTGGAGTCACCAGGTCATTGTAAGGGCAATTCAAGAGATCCCCCTTTGCAGGTGCTAGCAAATGGCCCATTTCTTCAGTTAGCAAATGCTATTTTATGAAATATTAGTTCTAGTGCACTATTAAGTTACCATCAAGGAGGTAATTACACTTATGTGCAATGATTATGTTTTCTTCCAGTAATGTTAAAAATCCCTTTATGAATTACATCTATTGGTTTTATGTAATTCTTTTCAGACCATGATTCTTATTTTAAAATTATATTAGCTTCTAAGATTAATAGTACTAATATCTATAACATGCGCAGCTATTTAATCATCCTTAAAATCTGGCAGAGTTTAGTATGTGTTAAGATAAAATTAAATCTTGGTGGGTGAGAGAAAAATTATGGTGTGAATACCAGGCTGCCCTTTTGAAAATATAAAAATTGTCAAAAGCCTGGCTGGGTGGCTCAGTTGACTGGCTCATCGTCCTAAACACCAAATGCTGTGGCGTGGATTCCCCGTCAGGGTGCGTCCGGGAGGCAACCAGTCCATGTTTCTCTCTCACATTGATGTCACCCTCCCTTCAACCCCCCACTCTCCCTCTTCCTCTCTCCCTCTATTCTTCTCTCCCTTCTCTTTTCCTTTCTCTTCCTCTCCCTCTCTCAAATCAATAAACAATCTTCAGGTGAAGATAAAAAAAAAAATTGTCATTATGTTATACTTAGCCTGATAGGATTAATAAATGCCTCTTATATGTAGGGACATATACTCCCTAGAATCCTTTGATAAAATAACGTTATCAGCAGCACTAGTTATAAATAAGCTTAGAGTTTTAGCCTAGTTAGCTAAAATCTCCTAAAGCGTAAGAATCGCTGAAGACTCAACATTAATGTCAAACTTCCCACAAATGAACATGTGCTCTTTCATGAGGATGACATCTCCCTGGTATTATGAATATAAATAAAAATTGTGTGCTGATGATAAATTAAGCATCTGAAATAGAGAAATGAAATAATGGGAAGTTTTTACATTATTTAATTTGAGTTGTGTTATGTTTTCTTTTTAAAGACTTGATGCTAGCAAGTGACCTTCAGAGTTCAAAAGCAGCAAATGAGTCCTACATTTTTTCACCAAGTACTTGGGCTCAAACATGCACTTGCATTTTAAAAAAAAAAAATGGTATAAAGCTTAATACTTTTCCACAAATCTTGGGATCTCGTTAGCCACAGACACCCTGTTTCACTTTATTATTATCTTTCCACGTGTTAGAACTTGTAATGCTACTTAACTTCTGTAGTCAGCTGAATTTCGAAACTTCCAAAATCTCTGGAGTTCGTGGTTCTTAAAGGTCTCTGTTGTGAGAGTCGGTGCTACTTTTGTGCCTCCACCCTCTCTTGTTCTCTTCTGTGATGGTTCATTTCAGCTGCAATGCTGTTCCTTTAAAACACTGGCAACCAATAGTCAACAAAAATCACACATTTGCAAACATTTCAACTTAAGATAGTCACAACAAGCAGCGACGACTAAATGCCACTTTCCCCCAGCATATTTGCAGTTCTACAGTTTTACCAATAGGTGGCATTGACAATTTTAACTTTTAAAATGTATCTCAGGTTATGCTCTCCTTGGGCAGGAATGAGGCAGAGGGTTTTATATTTAGCTTTGTAGTTAGTCCGCGAAAAGGTTGCCATACGTTCGTTCATTGTTCACGATTGATATTTGCTCCTATTTTATGGTTGGCTGAGAACAGGCATGTGATTTTCCCCAATCAGATCGAAGAGGGGGTTTCTGAGCCATTCGGGTTTCACAGACGTGTGATGCAGGGTCTCATAGCTCTGTGGTGACTGCACTCTGACACAGGACCTCAAAGCAAAAAGAAGAGTTTCAGTTGTTGAAACTAGAAGTTGCCATAGCCCAGTGCCTTCCCTTTGCAGTGGAACCTAAGGTGTTCTATGCATAATAACCTTGTAGGAAGAGCAACCCCTTTCTAGGCCTATCAGAGCCTTCCACTCTATTCTTTTTTATACTGTAGTTTACGAGCATTTTTTTATGCAATGCAAATCAAAGGTTTTATTGTGTTATCCAGTTTAATTGTGTCAGTTTCTTCATATTTTAACAAGTTGTTTTGGTATTCATTTAACTTTTTAAATTTAAATAGAGTTGATTTACAATTTTATATTGGTTCCTAGAGGCCCGGTGCATGAAATTCCTGCATGGGGGGGAGAGGGGAGTTCCCCTCAGCCCAGCCCGTACCCTCTCCAACCTGGAACCCCTTTGGGGATGTCCAACTGCTGGTTTAGGCCCGATCCCCGGACCTCTCACAATCCTGGACTGCTGGCTCCTAATTGCTCACCTGCCTGCCTCCCTGGTCTCCCCTAACTGCCCCCCTCTGCCTCACATTGATGTCACATTGTCTCTTCATGTCAGCCAGGTCACCCCCAACTGCACACCGCCCCCCGCCACCGGCCTGAGGATATTTTTCCATTGACTTTTAGGGAGAGTGGAAGAGAGAGGGAAAGACAGAGAGAAACATCGATGTGAGGGAAACACATCAATTGGTGGCCTCCTGCATGTGCCCCACCAGGGCTCCTGGCGGGAAGGTGCCTGCAACCAATGTACGTGTCCTTGACCAGACTCAAACCCGGGACCCATTGGTCCACAGGCTGATTGAAGCTCTATCCACTGAGTCAAACTGGCTGGGGCTCTGATTCTAACATTTTATCACTGTGAGGAACCTGCCTTTAAGGTAATTCTGAATTTGAGTGTCCCTATTGAAAGGCTGAATATTGTTTCACATAGTGTGTATGTGTGAGACTTATGTCCTGAATGCTTCAAAACGATGTAATCTTCTTCTCTGTGTTTGTAGGGTTGCATGGCACACGTCAAGAAGAGATGATTGACCACAGGCTAACTGACAGAGAATGGGCAGAGGAGTGGAAACATCTAGACCATGTAAGATGTTGGTAATTGTTCAGCTTAAACATTTTGAAAGCAGCTAGAGTGTAGTTACCTGATAAAATAAATGTGTGTGTGGGGGGCGAGGAGGGCTATTTTGAAGGCATTATGTTTTCTGCTAACCTTGGAAAAAATTTTGAGAATATTTGAAGTGTGATATAGGATTTGATTTCTAAATTGATACCAAAGCCATTTACATAAGAGACATATTTAGATCATGGGAGGAAGTTCTTTTTTTTATGATACATTTTTATTGATCTCAGAGAGAAAGGGAGAGGGAGAGAGAGATAGAAACATCAATGATGAAAGAGAATCATTGATTGACTGCCTCCTACATGCCCCACACTGGGGATCCAGCCTGCAACCCTAGTCATGTGTCCTTGACCAGAATCAAACCTGGGTCCCTTTAGTCGCAGACTGACACTCTATCCACTGAGTCAGTCAGGCAAGGCCTGGAAGAGAGTTCTTAAGACCAGACTAATAGTTGTACTGTGGAAGGCTCCCTTGGTTGATGCAGTGTTGGGATTCATACTTGGAAAGAGGGATGTATGCCCTCTGGTTGTGACTCATGTCATGCCCCCGACCCTTTGCTCTCATTCCCCCTGTGTTGACTCATCGATTGGGTCTCCATTTCCAATCCAACCTTTTGAAAAGATCAGACTAAAATAAGACTTCAGGGGTTCAAACAGCACCCTTCATTGCCCCAACACAGTACGTCTCACCACCTACCCAGGTCTCTGAGTTGCAGTGACTGACATGTGCGTTCTCCCCTCTCCCCGCTGCTCGCAGCTGCTGAACTGCATCATGGACATGGTGGAGAAGACACGGCGCTCTCTCACCGTGCTCAGGCGGTGCCAGGAGGCCGACCGAGAGGAGCTCAATTACTGGATCCGGCGCTACAGCGACGCCGAGGACTTGAAAAAGGGGGGAGGCGGCAGCAGCCACTCCCGGCAGCAGAGCCCCGTCAACCCGGACCCAGTGGCATTAGGTATCTCTCTGCGGCTGGACCCCCTGGGCAGCGCTCTCCGAGGCCAGCACTGATTCCCGGTCTGACTCGTCTTTTCCAAGATACAGACGTGCAGGGGCGTTTAGGCCCATAAGCACTCCCTACCTCTCCAAAGATGTCTTGGCCCGCCAGGGAGCGGGGCAGACTGGCTCAGGGTGCATGGCAGTCCCAGTGAGCTTTCCCAGGCTACGGGCTGAGCTCATGGTGCAGCTTCAGAGCTAAACTGGAGTTTCACACATGAACACACGTGTGCTCCTTCATAATAGAGTTCTTCAGACCCTCCCCCTTACGTGCAGAAGCAGTAGCTCAGGGCCTGGGCCCCGGATGCTGTGCCTCCAGCACGCTCTGGGGAATCTGCCACCAGGGATGTGTGGTGTCTGATTTGTAATTAAAGACAGTCGCAAAGACAATCACATTTTCTAGCTATATCTTACATGAAAACAAACACACACCAGCCACGCATGACCTCAGAATCCCCCCCAGGAAGAGGGATCTAAGGGCACTATCCCTTGCCCACCGCCCCTTGAAAATAAGGATGAGATTTAACTCTCTTACTGTGTGATCTCACCTTAACTTAGGTTACTTTCCCATGATTTTGTTAATATTAGTTACATGTAGGACTCTTAAGGTAGCCGTACTTTAACATAGTAGAAAGCTAAGATGGAGCCATAGTTATTGTTGGTATGTGGAGCTTGTTGGGGTTATAATTGGGAATTACAGGCACACCCCATTTTATTGCATTTCGCAGATACCGTGTTTTGTGCAAATGGGAGGTTTGTGTCCAACTCTGTCTGTGTGGGACAGGTGTATGGGCTCCTTCCAAAGGCTTATATGATGATTAGCATTTTTTTTTTTTTTTAGAAATACAGTATTTTCCACCAAGGTCTGCACATTTTTTTTTTAGTCATAATCCAATTACACACTTATTAGGCTACCACATAGTGCGAACTTTTATTTGTACTGGGGGGCGAGACACCTTATGTGGCTCACTTTAATTTGACAAATGCTTCATTTTGGTGATCTGGAAACATACGTGCAACATTTCCCAGCTGGTTCCTGAATGTGGAAAAAATCTTGAACCTTAAATAATTTTTGAGTGGCCCATGAGCTGTTTTTCTGAAACGAATAATCACCTGCTGTCCTTTTTATTGCTGCACATTGTGTCTGTGTGTCATGTGAGTAAACTTAGTGGAGACAGATCGATGTGGGTACCTTTTCTCTCTTGTTTTCTTATGTTCAACCCCACCCCTGTCAGGTGTCTCAGCTTAGGGTCCAGCCCATGTTGTAAATGCTGGGCAAAGTTCAGGGTGTTGGCCTAATTATCACTATCGATTATATGATCTTCGTAATTAAAAGTATTCCTAGCCAAATAGTTTCCTTTATGCTTAGGTTTGTGATTCCTACTCGTCCCTGAATGCTGAGTGCCTATTACCATGCTAAGTATTAAATAAAGGGTGATTCTAAGCCACTGAATTTACTCAGCAGGCATCATTTGAAAGCATATTTTAAAGACAGGTCTGTATTTGTCAGGCTATGTGAGAGTAAGCAATATCAAATGACTTGCACTTGATATTGGTCCAAATAAAACTATTTAGACTGGAGCAGCTTAAGCATCTTGTTTTTTACTTCCTTATATTATAAACAAAAATTGGTTAATCATGACAGATCTGCTCAGGATTAAAAAAAAAGGGGGGGGGGGTTATTGTAACCATTCAGCATAGGCAAAAATCGAGAGCCTTCAAGTAAATAAAACATTGGGAGAAAAAATATCTGATACATATTGAGCAAGTTCACGGAGTCATTGATTGAGTCAGTGCTTATTGATTGAGTGCTCGCTAGGTGCCAGGAATATTCTAGACACTGTGATAAAGGAAGAGATGAGTCACTCCTTCACCAGGAACTTCTGACCTGGTGGAGAAGGGAGGGAAGGAGCCAGCTACGGGTCTGGCACCAGATGGCCACTTCAGTTCAGTCCCCGAACGGACAGCACGGGTGTTAGCCATCTGCTGTGCTCTGGAAAAGAAGAAGGTCAGAAACCAACAGACCCTCCTGCTTACGTGAGTTACTCCAGCCCGCAGGACAGAGGACACTAGTGATGTAGTGACTTTCCCCTGGGGCACGTGGGTCCTGGCGAAACCAAAGTTGATCTTTCCCCAGAAAGAGAGGTTCCGTTCTCCTGTTCTACTCATTCTCGTGTAACAGGATGAGTAAACTTGTTTCTAAAGATTCCTTCTTAAGCGGAGTTATAGTACTTTTAACAATGCTTAAGGAATTCATCTTTTTCGCACAACTGCTTTGGCTTTGAGCTTTTGTAGATGGTATCATTCAAAGGCTACAAGTATTTCATGTATTGGTTTGGATTCCGGTGAGACAGTCATGACCTTAGGGACACAAGCCCTAGGTTTCCTCTTCACTTTGGCCACGTCAGAGGAAAGCTGCCAAGAGCCCCCCAATGTGCTGATCTGAGCAGGCAGCAGCTGGGTCCCTCTGTGTACGTACCAGAAGGTTCTTCAGGCCTTGGAATTCCATCTTGTGGGGCCAGCATGTGGCTATCCGTACAAACTCAGCTGTGCCTGTAAATGACACACCAGGTCAGGTGGCTTGTGAACAGGGCCATAACATTTGCATTCAGTGCTTGCTAAGGTTCTCACCTAGGTTTCGGAGTTGAGTATAGTGATGTGTAACGAAAGGATTGGAGATTATTGGCTGGTAAATCTTTTGTTGTTGTTGTTGTTGGCTCTGTAAAGTGTGTAGTGAGGTATTTGAATCCAGATGGAGCTATAGAACGTCTATATATTTAGGTACATAGAGACAGACCTCCATAACCTAGAGTTAGGTTGTGTGTTTTCTCACCTGACTTTCTGAATTCCTAAGCTGTTGTCGGATTTCAAATGAGAACTTGAGAACGTGAGAAAAACATATGACTTTCTGAATTCCTAAGCTGTTGTCGGATTTCAAATGAGAACTCGAGAACGTGTGAACATTATGTAGATCACAAGGTTGCCCTTGGTTATATCTCTAGCTTGGAAATTCTTGCAGTGTTTATTCACATTCTTAGCCTTTAAAAATGGTGTTTGGGGCCACATAGAAGGGAATGTAACTTAGAAGACGGCTGTATTGTATCTGTTAAACCCATCACCATTCCTACTTTCAAAGTATGTCCATATCATTCAGTCATTGTGTGGATTAGTAAGAAAACATGATTAACTATTCCTAATTGAATTTTGGGATTTTTTCCCCCCCAGATACTGAATGAGGACTATTTGGAATAGCCTCTTAAACAATTTTAAAATTGAGTACACATTGGACTTACTCTTTAAGTTAACAATAAGTTAATATCTTGGAGGACTTTCAAAATAATAGATTTATTCTTAAAATAATAGATTTATTATTATTATTATTATTATTATTATTATTATTAACTTATTCCAGGGGAAAACCTCTAAATATCCAAGTCTTCACAAAATCAGAAAACTAAATTTTTACACATTTTTTTTCTACTTTCAAAATATGACATATTGATGCATTTGTACCTTTACAGAAAACAAGTTAGTGCATCAGAATTGACATTTATTGCTTAAGTACAATTACTTTTGTGTGCATGTAGGGAGGGAGGGAGCTGCTGGTTACATCAATGTGCTCCTGGAGTATCTGGGTCTCTGTGCTGTCGCTTCTCCTCTTTTGCCTTCATTTCTTTTCATCTCGATATGCTCTGCGCATCACTCTCTTGGCTCCTGACATTTTAGTCTCTCAATTACTTTATTTTTACTGCTTTTAAGCTCTTCTAGAATCTGTATATTCTAGAATCGTTATTTTTCTCAAGAAGTCTTTTGCATCATTAGAGAGTCTTATTTAAAAATAGACTTAGAGACTGAAGCATAAAGCTGAAATACGATCACATTTCCCCCCGTGTGTGGTTTTAAAATATATTTTTTAATGTTGTGGCTAGAGGGTATGAGCTGTAGAAAGCACCAGTGTGTTTTGGGGAAGGGCTAGCCTCTTGCCAGAAAGAGACATTTCAGAGAGAGGCTTTGTTTGCTTTAAGTGAAATGAAACGTTAATTATTCCTAAAAATTCTTAGAAATTTGTTCAATACATACCTCTCTGTGCCCCAAGTAGATCAGTAGAGGAATTGGTATTTAAAATTCCTCTGGCTGGCAAACTTTATGATTGTCATATTGAATTGTAGAATTTCTCAGTACCACCTACATGCTCGGTTTAGCATGAAGGTTTAAAAGCACTGATTCTGAGCAGAATGTTTGGGTTTGAATCTCTGCTTTCTCTTCTTCATAGTCTTGTGACTTTTGGCAAGGAACTCTCTGCCTCAGTTCCCTCATTTGTAAACCGGGGATAATAATAATAATACACAGCTCGTAGATATTTGTACATTAAATGAATTAATATGTGTAAAGCATATCAGATAGTTCCTGACACATAGTAGGCATGATATAAGTAGTTGCTATCCTTATTATTCCTAGCATGCAATCCCAAAAGGAACGTCAAAGAACAGTGGTTCAAGAAACTAGTGTTTTTGCTTGGCAGCTGATATTATGAAGTTATAGTAGATTCTGAGGTTGTTTATTTTATTTTACTTAGAAAGTATTCCAGGCAGTAGATTTTAGGTGACAGCTTTATTTAATAGCCAGAGAAACTAGAACAGGAAAATTCTGTCTTATATAATAAACTAGAGGTCCAGTGCACAGATTTGTGCACTGATGGGGTCCCTTGGCGTGGCCTGTGGGGATGGGGCTGAAACTGGCTGTCTCATGCTGCCTGCTGCTCTTGCCTGCTGCTTCTGCTCATCCCAACCCCACTGTGCCTGCCGGTGCTGGTGCCAGCGCTCGGTAGACTCGCTGCCGCTCTGCTGCAGTCTCCGGGCTGCAGCAGCCAGCTGTGAGCCCTGCATCTGGCACCCCTCAGTCAGCTGAGAGGCACTCCTGCTGTGGGAGCACACTGACCACCAGGAGGCAACTCCTGTGTTG